ACTCCCTCCCCATTTCAGTCCTCAGGGAAGGTAAGGCAAATGGGCTGGAGAAGAGGAGAAAGAAGAAATCAGGAAAAACAAACTTGACATTGATGAAAACTTTCCTTATTCTTCTAGAGCTTGCCCCTCATTTCATGTCTTTCTTATCTGTATCCTCTAGCTCTTCTCCTTGCCACCCCCCCCCACGCCTCACTTTAAACTCCAGAGTATCTGCCCAACCCAGTCCATACTTGTGATTTTATTGGGTGTGTGTGTGAGGGAGATGGCCAATGGGAGGCCCATATTTAGAGCATGTACAGCGTATTCCTAATGTATCCCCAGCTAGGCAGGAGAGAGGCATTCTTTGGCAAGTTAGCATTTTCTGAGTGCACACCCAATTCTGGCTTAGCAGCCAATCAATAGGCCAATAAGGGTCATCGACTATCTGCACAAGCTCTAAAGTAGAGAGGAGTGTCCTTCAGTGGGAAAGCCCTGGAGCAGGCTCACTGAGCCTCCTCTCTGGGGCTGCAGCATTGAGAATACTATGCTGATGGTCCGATGATGGACTTCCATTGGCCAGGCCCTATACCACCTTACACAAGGAACTTCCAGTGTGGAAACTCCCTCATACAATGCAGATCAGTAGTTATGCTGCAAGTTGTAGTTGTGTTAAGTTACTTGGGGGACATAACTACAACAAAATAAATGCAATGCAAAACTACACATACCAAATCAAAAGTAAATGTAACAGGTTTATAAAGCTCAAGCAAGACTGGAATGAAGAGAAATGAGAGGATACCTCCAACCCACCTCATTGTGGAGGTGAGAGGTCCACAGGTGTTATACAGAGCACATGTTTTTGAACTTTTTTAATGTATTGATCACTTATGTTGATTTTTTTTCCTCTGTAAAAACTACTTTTTTTTTTTTTAAAATGGGATGGCTCTCTGGGAGGGAGAGTAGGAGGGATACTTGATATAACTATGATGATATAAGAAACAGAAGATATCAATAAAATCTTATTTTTAAAAATGTTCCTTAGTTGCCCTAAAAGGTGAAGTGATGAGTTCCATTTCATATAGCTAGTGTGAGCAGAAGTGTGGCTTGAATCATGGTCTTTTTTGACTTAGAAGTCATCTCCGGAGCCACTGTGCCCTTGCTGCTACTTACCTGGAATACAGCAGGTATCTAATGGTTGTTGAATTGAATTGTGCTTACCTGAAAAAAAGAACTTTCTCTAATGCTTGCCATTTTTGTCTGGCCTTTGGTGTTAATTTGCCCAGATAATAATAATGATGATGATAATTCACATTCACATAGCATTTTAAAGTTTTCAGACTGCTTCACAGGTATGACATTTGAGTCTGCAATAACTCTGAGAGGAAGACATTCTTATTATCTCCATTTTACAGATGAGGAACTGGGGCATAGAAAGGTCAAGTTACTTGCTCAGGGTCACACAGCTAATGTCTAAGGCAGGATTTGAACTCAGATCTGGATGTTGTGTACGCTATGCTAGCTAGCTGCCCTGCAAATCATGGGCAGCTGACTGGAATCCACTCTGGTTTTCCCCAACTTCTGCTGAAACAGTCGCCAGAAAGAATGACTTCAGGGTTTCTGTTTAGCTATCCCTCTGTGTAAAGAAGGGACTTGCTAATTGCATCCTGTGCTTTTGCTGTTAAAGAAATGGGCTTCATTAGAATTTCACAGTACTTCAGATTTTGAAGCAACCTTATAAACTACCTCTTGCAGTCTATTAGGAACTCCCTATTCCAGATGGAACATCTCCAACATCTCCAGCTTTCCCTTAAAGACCTTGTGTGTGTGTGTGTGTGTGTGTGTGTGTGTGTGTCTGGAGTGGGAGGAGGAGTGAAGTTAAGGGGGGGGGGGATACTACCTACTATCTCCCTAAAATGGGAGATAAAAATACACCATTTGTTAAGAAGTTCCCCGTTCCATTCTCCCTCCCCCCTACTAAGGCAGAACTAAGCTAAGATGAAGTAAAACAGGTTCCTGAGGTACAAGGAATGAGGGCAAAATGAGAAGGACATTTTTCTATTACTTTTTATAAATGTGTAAAATAAAATTCCGCTCCCCATAGCCTGTAGTTAGGCATTTGTTTCATAATCTCACTTGTGTCAAGTCATATGGTATGATAAAGCCCCAAAGACCCTTAGCATGTTTTTCAAGCCTTGTGCAAAATGGAAAAAATGCCATAGTGGGGCTCTACCCACTTAGGTATGTGGCTAATTGGGAAGACTAATTAAAATAATTTGTATATACTCATGCAGATTATGGGCTCCCTTTGCAAGTAACTGCCGAATGAAAATTTTATGTTTCTAATTTATTTGTTGTTTTTTTCACCTCTTTCTATTTAAGCACGTTTCTAGAAATCCAGGATCCCAAGGAAACATTTCAGAAAGAGTAGCTTTGCCTTTCGTAAACAGTAAAAATAAACAGATCTCTAATAATCCTCAAGTCACAAGGGTAATTGAATCTCATCATTCTGAGTAACCAAAACTTAGGAAAGGGGTACTTCCTGAGAATATGAAGGGCCTGACTGAAGCAGTGTGAATGCAGTGTTTTGTCAGCCTGATAATACCCTTCAGGTGCCCCTCTTACATGAATCCATGGAGGCTTGAAAGTAGAGAGAATACTGTCCCATTTCTGATTCAGCTTCTAAGTCATTGCCTTGCCTTTCCTCCAGTCCCAGATCTCCCAGCTCAGCTGTGCCTACTTTGTTCAATCAGTCAGTCAGTCAGTCAGTCAGTCAACATTTACTAAGTGCCTACTATGTACCAGCAACCATTCTAAAGCCTGGTGATACACATATGAAAAAGAAAGGCAGTCCCTGCCCTCTAGGAACTTATAATCTAGTGAAGGGAGATGGAACACAAAAGGAAGCTGAGAAACGGTGTACAGGACACTGTTCCTTCTTATCCACTTATATTGGCTTAGAATTGTTCTACAATGGAGAAGAAAGGCGTGAAAGATGTGACCACCAGAAATCTATGCTGGGAGAACAGAACAGTCTTTGAGAGTAGCTATACTAGAACTTTGTACATGGTAGGAATGCAATAAATAATAGAGAGACCTACTGTTAATAATGAAAAAAACCCTTAAGTTTTTGTGTAAAAATGGATCATCCAAATTTAGAGTAAATGTAAACACTAGTTTGGGTTCCAGAAGACTGATTAATCTTTTCTTTCCTTCTTCTTTCTTCTTTCTTTCTTTCTTTCTTTCTTTCTTTCTTTCTTTCTTTCTTTCTTTCTTTCTTTCTTTCTTTCTTTCTTTCTTTCTTTCTTGTTGGTAGAAAGGTGGTAGATTACAGGTGTGGAATATTGCATACATTGCTAGATGCAGTCACTGGGATGGTTTTTCTTTTGCTATATTGTTGTTCTTTGTTACTAGGGAGTGTTCTTTGCTTGGATAAAGGTGGCGGGGCACTAGTGGAAGTGACTGTGGAGGGAAAAAAGCATCATTTTTGCATTTAAAAAATTTTTTAACCATTTATGAGGGATACATATTGACCTTAATTTCCTTTTATGAGAAGGCAATGCCCTTCTTAGCTCTTAGGCCATAAGGGCCATTCTTAATAGCAAATGTATATTATACCTGATCCTTGGCCTCCCCTTGAATTGTCTCTTTCTTTAGGAGTCTTTGGTAAAAACAGAATGAATTAAAGAAAGCCAGGGCTTTGGGAGTATTTAGTTTTAGATCCTGTTGTTAGACCAAATGCTTACTGGGCTTATATTTTCCACCTTGGAGAAACTCTCCCTTTTTATGCTGACCCCAAAGCATGGAGAGGACATCTTAGTCCTGGATTTAGTCCTTAGTACCTGGACTCATATTCAGTGCTTCATTTGCTTTGCTCTCCTTGCTGTTCCTGCTGTTAATGAAACAGCTTTAGGCAGTGAATGCTTTTTTTGTTACTTTTAAAAAAATTGAATAACCCCTCCTTTTCCTCGCCTCTTTAATTACTTTCTTGGTTTGACTCCTGGTTATGACAAGACTTCTTTATTCCTGAGGCTATAAACAAGTTCCTGTAGTCTTCCCGACTCAGGGGCTTATTTGTGTGGCCTAGGTGTGAGATTAATTCCTATTATAACTGGCACTGAAGATGCCCAAGACCTTTTCAGGGGGTCCTTGAGGTCAAAACTATTTTCTTAACAATAATAATAAAGTATTATTTGCCTATTAAAATACCACTTCCTTTTCCAACTACCTGTCTATATGAGGCCAGATTTTCTTCTTATACTCCAACCAAAACAACATATTATAACAGATTGAATGCAGAAGCAGATATGAGATCCAGCTGTCTTCTATTAATCTAGACAGTAAAGAAATTTACAAAAATATAGAAAACAATGCCTTCTTGAGGGCAAGAACTGTCTTTTGCCTCATTTTATATCCCCAGCACTTAGCACAGCGTCTGGAACGTAGTAGGTGCTTGATAAAGGTTCATTGATTGATTTTGGAAAATAAAGTTATTTTTTCATAAAAATATTACTAATGTTCATAGTTAATATTTTTGTTATTTTTAAATGAATTAATACTTTTAAATTTTTAATCACTTAATTTTTAGTACTTTAAATATCAATAGACACAAGTGATATAAAAATCTCTTTGGGGTCCTCAATGATTTTTGAGTGTGTAAAGGGGTCCCCAAATCGAAGAGGTTGAGAATCTCTGACCATGGAGGCATTTCACAGATGCTATACTGGATGGATGGAGCTCACAGATCCAGCCATCCTAAGGACTTTGACCTTTGGTGTCATAGTTACATTTTCAGTTCATATATGTAAGGAATTTCTTTGGTGCTGTCCCAGTGTTTAACATTCGTTTGTCGATAAGAAGAACTGTTTATTTATTCATTTATTTATTTATTTATTTAATCAATGTAAGTGGTTGGGTTACTAGGGAATTTTATTGTTGTTCTTGTTGGTATAAACATTCTTCAACCCCACAGAAACTTGAATCACAGACTTTCACTAACTTCTCTTTTAAATTAAATGTTGTAGAAATCTGCTCTCAGGAGGAAGTGTGCTGTCTGTAAAATTGTGGTCCACACAGCCTGCATAGAGCAGCTAGAAAAGGTAAGAGAGCGCCCCCTGCTGCTCAGCCTCCTATAGTGCATGTATTCTAGCTTCCAAATTCTAGTTCTCCATGCCTCTTATGTATCTCATCCCATTTCAAGGAGTTCCAAAGACATCCGCCAAGTATAAAACCAAGGGGAAAGAGTCTCTATTATGTTGAAACTATAAAAACGACCCCAAACATGCACTGCTTTAGTTTTATCTACCATATTCTTTAGTTAACTGCTGGTTGTGGAAAACCTTCCACTTTGGTTCACTTTGATTGACAGGCATTGATACAAGGTTAATAACATTCTTTTCATTTGATCTGTAGAGCTGCTGTGAAATAAAGCAGTTCACCCACCCATATTGCTTTTGTCCTTTATGTGTGGCTGCTCATAGCTGTCTTTCTACTGCTGAAAGAAACTACTGTGGTTCTGAATTGCTCAACACTATTTGGGAGGCTTTGAGAGAGAGAGAGAGAGAGAGAGAGAGAGAGAGAGAGAGAGAGAGAGAGAGAGAGAGAGAGAAAGACTGGCCTCTAGTTCCTTACATTTTTATGTACCTTGTAACTATTTCTGTAACCCCATTAGTACAATGATTCTGCATACAATCCTTACTAGAGGTGACCAATAAGAACAGAAATAAAAGTCTTATGAACATTAGCTCTTTTCCTTTCCTTATACTTTTCCTTGTACCTATTCCCATTTCCCTCCAAGTTTTTCCGTGGAACACAGAAAAATAGGGAAAAAATAACCAAACCCTTTTATAACCTATTAAAAGTCCAGGATCCAGATCTTTCTAACCAGGCTTCCCTTTGGAGCACTGGATTTTCAGGGGGAGGGGGGGAGGAGGAACACACACACACACACACAGAGCCAGTGCTAAGGTCTAAGAACTCCCTTTGCCTTTTATTTAGATGTCACCACATAACTTGAAGGTGGGGCAGCTAGGTGGTGCAGCACATAGAATGCTGGCCCTGAAGTTAGGAGGACTTGAGTTCAAGTGTGGCATCAGACACTTACTAGCTGTGTGACCTTGGGCAAGTCACTTAATCCTGTTTGCCTCAGTTTCCTCATCTGTAAAATAAGCTAGAGAAAGAAATGACAAACCACTCCATTATCTTTGTCAAGAAAACCCAAGTGGGGTCACAAGGAGTCAGACACAACTGAACAACAACAACAAACTTGAGGGTAGAGATGGCTTTTCAGATGATTAATAGGGAAAATTTGGATTCTACAATGCCCTCTGTGCAGGAAGAAGGAGAGCTTCCTTCCTGTTCCCCTATCTTGTGATCATCATCCTTCTTATTGTCCATGTTATCTCTCATTTCATTCCTCCTTCCCCATCTCTACCTATTCTTCTAATACAAGTGCACCCTTTTTTGGGTGGTAGCTGTGTTCCTAAAACACTGTGTAGATTGAATTTTTGTAAGTATAAATCTAGATTTTTTTCATTGGCTTCCATTTTCATTTCAGTGATGCTTTGTATGTTTTTAATTGGTCTTCCCTGGCAGTGGCTCCTAACACTTTAAATTTCAGCATGAGACAGTGAAAAGTGCATTGGATTCAGAGGAACTGGGTTCAGATCCTGGCTTGGCTACTTACTATTGTGTATTCTTGGGCCACTAACTTAACCTCTCTCAATTTCCTCATTTTTAAAGTGAAGGAATTAGACTAGATAATGTATAAAATCCCTTCCAGTTTTCAATTCATACATTCTATGCATACATCCTGTGATTTTCTGCCTCCTTCCCTCTTTAGGTTTCCCACTGTTGCCTTGATATCATCCCCATCCTCCCATACACCTTCCTCTCAAGTACCGATGATCTACAAACAAACACTTTAAAACACTCCACATATTTAAAGAAACACTGTGGTAAATCCTTTTATGAAGGAAGAATTTATTTTTCTGAGCCTCAGTTACCCAGTCAATAAAATAAGAAAACTGGGCTTGGTGGTCTATAGCATTTCTTCCAGCTCTAAATCTCTCATTATAGGAGCCTTTTGCATTGTGAATTGTTGCTTCCTAAATTTTCAACCTCCTAAATTCCAACTTCCAGTTTGTTAAAACTAGAGCACAGCTTTGAGTCATTTTAGTCCCTGAAAGGTCATTGTTCTGCCCCTTAATAACCTCCAATTACTTATCTCTTTCCTCTATCACTTACTAGCTGTGTGATCTTGGACAAATGACTCAGAGAGCCTCAGTTTCCTCCTCTGTAAAATGAAAATAATGCCTGCTCTGCTCACTTCACAAGCTTGTGATAAGGATCAACTCAGATGTTGTATTTGTGAATGCTTTATGAAGTCATGTTGCTATTATTATGACTATTTCCATGGATGATAGGACAGAATAGTGTCACCTTTCAGGAAAATGACTCATTTGAGATATCCGGTTAATGTGCTGATCCTCAGATACCAGCATTTCACGATGACAAAAGCAGTTGCTCCCTCAGGGGTTAATACCTAGCACAAGTCACTTCAGCTCTCACACTACTTCCATTTACTGACCTAGAAGATGAGAGAGTTGGATCAGAATCAGGGACTCTTGCCCCTTTTTGGGTCACAGACTCCTTTGGCAGTCTGGCAGAGCTTAAGGCCCCACTTCTCACCATCAGGTTTTGCTGCCTACATTCATAATTGAAGAGAATGCTAAATTTAGGGAAAATAAAAAATATAATTATTTTCCCATCCAAGTTCGTGGACCCCCTACAATCTATCTATAAACCCTGCAGACCACAAGTTAAGACCCCCTGGCCTAGGTGATCTCCAACATCCCTCTGAAACCCTTCGATCAATCCTAATGGTCTCATTTACTGTGCATTCTCAATATTGACCAATGTTGATTCCCTTCCAGTTCTATATTTATACTTGTCTATACTTATCCCTAATATTTCTTTGTACGTGTCTTTTGATTGGCAGATTAACTTCAGATGCAAACCAACTTTCCGGGAAGGAGGCTCCAGATCTCCAAGAGAAGTGAGTAGCCCAAGAGTATAGTCCCAAGCCCTGCTTTCCCACCCCTTGATGATTCACTTGGTTTAGAGGCAAACACGTCTCTGATGCTCCTCACGCCTAGATAAACAGATTCATCCTCTTTCCATTCACTGTCCTCAGTGGAGTTCATCCTCTCTTGCTAGTGTGCCTGGCATGCCTCCTGGAACAGGGTGCCTCAGTATGTAGGTGTTCTCTCTGAAGGCCAGGATAGGGCACATAAGTTCTTACTGAACACCCAAGTAGGGTGGAGGGAGAAGAAGCAAAGCAGTATTTCAGGACATTGGGTGATTTTAATTCCATTTCTCACTTTGGAGAAGGTGCAAGATGCTCTTTCTACCCAGCTCTCCCTTTCTTCTTGCCCTTATCACCTCTCTCCTTTGCCTCCTTCATCTCAAACTGGTGGGTGGATGACACTTTCCTTCCTCCTCCCCTACTAAATGCCTCAAGTTCAAGGAAGAAAGAAAGTAAGGATTTCTCACCAATTATGTAGTAAATTTAAAAAATACATATAGGTTTAATCACAGTACAAACCTAAACCAAAAATGCCTAAAGTTCTTTGAAATGCAAACACTAAGGCGATACAGTGGTGGACCTGGAGTTAAGAACCTGAGCTTCAATACTGCCTGAGACATTTACTGGCTTTGTGATTCTAGGCAAGTAATTTAACCTCTACCTGTCTCAGTTTCCTCATCTGTGAAATGGGGATAAGAAGAGCCATCTACCTTACAAGGTTGTTGTGAGGATAAAATGAAGTAACATGGGATAATATCTGTAAAGCACTTTGTAGACTTTAAGGAACTAGATAAACTCTATCTAGCATCCTCAGCATCATCATTATATTTTCACCTGTGCTCCCTCAGTAGATTTAAGTTTGCAAATTCAGCCCCTGGTATCTATCTCTTCTTAAATGTACTTTTCCCTGTAGATAGATTATCCAATGGTCATCAGGGGGCCTGCAGTATTTTGGCTTTGGCCATGCAGTAGGTAGCTTTGGAGTCAGGGAACCTGGGTTCAAATGCAGGCCCTACCACTTAATTCCTTGATGGCCTTATGCAAGTCTCATAACTGAACTTCTCTGGGCCTCAGTTTCTCAGAGGCAGCTGGATAGTGATGTAGATAGAATGCTTAGTGTCAGATAGACAAACCCAAATCCTCCTTCAGAGATTTACTAGCAGTGTTACTTTGGGCAAATCACATAATTTCTCAGGGCCTCTGTTGCCTAGATGCAGTTTATGCAGCATAGTGGATAGAATGCTGGGCTTGGAGTCAGGAAGACCAGAGTTCAAATTCTGCCTAGCTGTGTGACTTTAGGCATTCTCCTTTTGGTCATTTATAAAATGAGAGTGTTGTACTCAATAGCCTCTGAGGTCCCTTCCAGCTTTAAATCTGTAATGTTAAGAATATTAAGTTTGCCCTATAAGTGTGGTTCACCTGAGATGGAAATTTATTATTATTTTTATTTTATTTTTTACCCCTTTATTCAAACAAGCAAAAATAGTGTTAAACCAGGGCAGAGATAGTTTTTAAGGGATTCTACAATTGTCTGTGATCTCACTGATGTGGAAACTTTCTCTAGTCATAGGATTACAACCCTTCCACACTTTCTCATCTCCTGAGATGCTTGTCTGTCCCCTCATGTAAATTTTCTACCCAGAGTTTTCCTGAGTGCTTAGGATCTTCCTCTTCATCTCCTCTGGAGATACCAGTGGAGTACACAGGCTATCCATTGTTTGTCTCTCCAGGGATATTTTTCTCCACAGGTTGTTCCATTCATTGGTCACTGGACAAGGATTTCACATTTAGAGTACCCACAGCTAAGTTAATGTTTATAGACTGTCAAAAAGTGTAGGATTTATATTACCTTCTGCTGCTTTTCTACTTGTTTTCCGCATCACTACAGTATTAGGAAGTTACCCGGGACAGAAGGTCTTTTTGTGTTTGTCTTTGATTTTTGGTTTGCCATTCATCAGCTGGCTAGGCAATGAGCCTGTCTGCCATATTCAGATTGGTCTATAGAAAGTAAAGGTGGTCTGTTTCTGACTTTTCCAGAATGGTAAAATCTGCCAGTGCAGGCATTCTGATGCTATAGTCTTTGAGAACAAAGGGTAACCTCCATGCTATGGTGAGGAAAGAGTAAGACATTTTAGAGACGTCATCTTGTAGATTGGAATAAAACAAAACAAAATAATACAAACCCAAACCTTCATACAATTTGGTTCTTCTCTCACTAATGTTTAATTTTTTTTAAAAAATTAATCTTTTCTTTAAGCCTTCCATTTTATAAAGAGAGTCATCCTTAGCTCCTCCTGTCATCTATTCAATTTGACGTTGAAATTCTTCGGCTCATTCATTACTCATTGATGTGATTTCACTTGGCTTCAAAGTGCCCAAAACTTTTCACACCTGGAGTCTATGATTTGTTTCTCAATCTCCCAGTCTTTTAGCTAGTTTAGGGAGGCTTACAAGTCAGAAAGACAGCCCACTCATTGAAGCACTGCTCTTTCTTCTCCACATGGCAGAAGTAGAGAGAGAAATTTCAGTTACCCAATTGCCCCTCTCCTTTGACCTGCTGAAACGAAGGTAGCATACTTAGAGTGGAAACAGCTTTGGCTCTGGAGGGTCTGAATCAAGTCATACTTCTGACACCTATCCCCTGTGTGACCATTGGCAAGTTACTAAAACCCTCACAAACCTCAGTTTCTTCATGTGTAAAATGAGGGTGTTGGGCTAACTGACTTCTGAGGTCCTTTTCAACACTGGATTTATGAGCCAAGACCTTATATACCTCTCCCAGCTCTCATTCTTTCATTTCTAATCCTTTATAGCTCTAAAATTCTAGGCCTTTTCCCAATCAAAAAGGAGTAATTTTTCACTTTCTTCTTAAGAAAGGAAACCACCTGTACTCTGTAACTACTTCCTAGTAGGTTGCTGACCTTGAATTAAGTGCTGTAATACAGTTTGCAAAATAGATGCTTTTGTGCTAGTTCTCTTAACTCCAGTGCAGTATCAAATACAAACTTGTTCTTGATCCAAGTGTTTTCTGAAACAGATTCTCCAGAACATTATGTTTTAAAAAGAATATTTTAAAAAGAAATGGAATAATGTTTTAAAACATAGATTTAAAGTGATTTTTTATCCTAGTTGGAAAGAACTAGCCACCAATTCAGTGGCAGCTCTGTACCCTTTAGTACTTTATGGCAAAAATTGGAGCATGTAGGTGAAAGAGGAAGTGAGAATAAGTATTCAAATCTAGCCAGACTTTTGGTGTTAGGGATTTAAAAGTAAAGCAAAATCTTCTAAGCCTAGACTTTGTCCTGTAGAAAGTAGAATCTACTATTTTTAAGAAATAAAGAATTGATTTGTTGCTGTAGTTCCTCAAAGGACAATAATTTATGATGAGATTGGACTGAGATGACCATTAATGTCAAGATTTGATTTCTCTTGAAAGTTGCTGTGAAACTTGGGTCTGGGTTAAAGTCTAACACATTTTCTGAACTGATTGCTTAAGGTTAAAAATAACTGTAGCTTTATAAAATAAAATTGGAGAAAGTTGTTGCACAAGATTTGGCAGTGTAACTCCTTCCACCCTCCCCTTTAAGAACAGAGGAGAGAAGGAGGGTGGGGGGGAGGGAGGGAGAGAGAGAGAAAGGGAGGGACAAGGAGAGAAGAAGAAGGAGGAGGAGGAGGAGGAGAAGGAAAAGAAGAAGAACAAGAACAAGAAAAGGAGGAAGAAGAGACTTCTCTTTTTATTCCAATCCCTGGTTTCAACTGAGGCAAAATGTAGGCTAAAAATGCCATAATATTCTCCATCACTCAACTCAGTAAATCATACTGTTTGAAAGTCATGCTTTGAGAATCAGGGCTTTAAAATATAAATATAAGTAACTGAAGTAATGGGAAGAGAAGTAAGGTTATTATGCCCATACACGATAAATACAACTTTGTAAATAAAAAGAATGATATTTTGGTAGAACTATCAATTAATCTCCCAGGCAACAACAGTAGCAACAAAACCCAGTTAGATACAGAGAAAAGGAGTTTAGAAGAGGTCACAGGAATAAATGGGGCAGTTTTGTCACTATCGAATTAAAGTTAAACGTGTACATCTTTTGTTTTTACCAGTGTATGAAAAAGGGAAATTACAGTTATGGTTACATTTAAAATTTCTGCAGTCACTGTGAAAAGGAAGGAAAGAAAATCACACAGGCAAAAAAAATCCCAGAAGTAAAACTGAACAATGTAGCTTTTAAATCCTGATTCTAGCTATGCAAACTAATGCTCATCAGCCCCCACCCTCTGAATTTCTTTCTCAAAATATCAAGCAATTTTGTTGTTAATTACATGACCTCATACAGTGATGGTGAAAATAGTTCATTTACTACAGAAATATAAGGTACCTAAAGAATAAAACTCAAGCCAAACAACTCCTACCAATGATATTCCACAGTAAAACCTCCCGCCACCATGGTTTGTGGGGGTGGGGGTGGGAGGGGAAATGGCATGCATCTATGTGTCCCTACTCTGATGAACCACTCTGCATTAGGAGTGCCCTCTGCATCGCCTCTGCATCATAATCAAGGGCCCAGAAAAGGTAGAAGGGCTTGCCTGGAGGATGAATGCTGAAGTCTCACCACCTGGGCTTTGCAGTGTCTACCAGCCCTGGACCAGTGAAGCCTCAGGGAGCTGTGACCAACTCAGATAGTTTGGGGATGCACTGGCCAACTCAGCACATACCGTGCATGATGGCAGAAGCCTGAACTGTCTCCCATGGCTGCCTTAAATGGCTAAGCTCCCTGTTTGCAGGCATCTGCATCTCTGCCTTGTTGCTTCTTTTTCTCTTGGTCTGTTTGGCTCCACATGGACTAGAAATGATGGCCATAATCTTCTTTTCCCAAATGCTGGTGTCCTGTTTTTCAAACACACATGCTCAGAAGGACACCCTGATCCCACACACCTGCAGCAAGCAGAGGGTATCTAATCCC